TTTTTTTGAGACAGTCTCACTATGTTGCCCTAGGTAGAGTGCTGTGGCATCATAGTTCACAGCAACCTCGAACTCTTGGGGTTAGTGATTCTCTTGTCTTATCCTCCCAAGTAGCTAGGACTATAGGTGCCTGCCACAGCACCTGGCTATTTTTTTCATTTTTTTGTTGTAGTTGTCATTGTTGTTTAGCAGGCCTGGGCTGGGTTGGCACTCACCAGCACTGGTGTATGTGGCTGGTGCCCTGCCCCACTGAGCTATGGGCACTGAGCCCAGCTTACACATTTCTGCACACACACACACACACACACACACACAGGGGTTGAGATTTTTGATTGTATTGAGTTGCAGTTATAGTTCAATTTGGGGAGAACTGGCATCTTTATAATGTTAAGTCTTCCAATCCATGAAAATGGTATATCTATTTATTTAGGTCTTTAATTTTTTTCTCTATGTCCTTTTATGGTTTTCAGCTAAAAAAAACTTTCATATCTTTTGATAAATTTATTTTTAGATATTTGATGCACTATGAATAGTAATTTTAAAATTACATTTTCTCTTTCTGGTTTATAGAAATTTAATTTTTCTTTATTGACCACATACCCGGGAACCTGCTAACTTCATTTATTAAATTTGAGAGTCTGCCTTAGATTCTTCTGGATGGTGTACATTTTATTTCCTCCTTTTGTGCCCTCTGCCTTTTATTTCTTTTTTTCCTGCCCCATTGTACTAGATGTGACCACCAGTGCAGTATTGCATAAGTATAGGGGGATCCTCCATCTGGGGAGAAGCTTCCAATAATTTACCATTAGTGACGATGTTTGCTATTGCTCTTTTGTGGATAGACTTTTGTAAGCAGATAGATTTCGGAAGTTTTTATCTTTTTTAGTGTGCTAGACTATATTTGTTTGAAATAATTATGGATGGTGTTGCATTTTATCAAGTGATTTTTCTGTCAGGGTTCCCATATAACTTTTCTCCTACGATAAATTATATAGATCGCTTTCGGGATGCTAAGGCACATTGCATTCTTAGAATAAACTCCACTTAGCCATGGTCTGTTACCCTTTGTATTTATCATCCAATTGATTTGCTGGTATTTTGTTTAAGAGGCCTATACCACGTTGAAGCTTCTATTATTATTATTTTACTCAAGAAATCGTTTTTCATCGAAGAGATATTAGAAAATGCTTAGAAAGCAAACCTCAATTAAAAAGTGTATTTTAAACCCCCTCAGATATGACCCAGATATAATTACAGTGACCATTTTACTGTCCAGAATGATTTAAAAAGAATTGAATACTTACACAACCTAATGCTCAGTAACTGAGCCACGTATGGGAATATGTAATTCAAACCAACTTGTAAAGGAATGGCACCATTATTTCTGTCATGGACATGCCTGTAAAGCCCTGTGTTGAACGTTCATCTGTTGTCTGATCTTTTCACAGTCCTCTTTTGCAAATCCCTAAGTCATGTGATTTTCGTGAGACACCTTACATGGTGACAAGGGCCGTCGCATGCCGCGACCCACCTTGCTATAGCTCTGCCGGGAGGTGGCCTTCTTCCTTCTCTAAGGCTTCTCCTGGAGCTTACTCCACAGTAATTATATCTAATTTGTGCTCTGTCAGTTTTGTGATTCATTTGCCTCCTCAGATTCCCAAGGTCTCTTAATTCCTAGGTAAATTGCTGTTACACAATTCATTGACTTATTCTGAAACTGAGATCAGGCTTATTTTCCACATCATTAAATGTTTGAGACCATCATTTTTAATAGTTACATAGTATTCCATGATACGGCCAGGCCATAATTTAACCAGTTCCATGGCATTAGACACTTAGATTGTTGAAAATTTGGGGAGAGGAATTAAAATAATTATTTGGGAGCGGTGCCTGTGGCTCAAAGGAGTAGGGCACCAGCCCCATATACCGGAGGTGGTGGGTTCAAACCTGGCCCTGGACAAAAACTGCAAAATAATAATATTATTATTTGGTATGGAAACCTCCGTGCTTGTGGTGGAGAGAAGGGTGTACACTGAACTTCAGAATGCCCAGTTTATGGCCAGGCTTGTTTGACTGAGACCTCCCTTTCATTCCTCCACACTGGGTTATTTTGAAGCAAATTCAGGGTGTCATGTCGTACATAACACATTTCAAAATGTGTTTCTAAAAGATAAAGATCATTGGTTCCTTCATACCTTCCAAACTCTGCAAACTATTCTAGTTTCTTATCACCATTTTTTCCTCTTTGTTTACTGAAATCAGAATCCAAATAAAGTTTACTTAATACAATTGGTTGACAGAGCTCTTAATTTATTTTAATTTATATGTTTTCCCCTTCCCCTTTTTGTTTTTTTTTCCCTGACAGAATCAGCATCAGTGTCACTCTGTCACCCTGGTTAGAGTGCTGTGAGCTATGATGATGCAGCAACCTCAAACTGGAGGGCTCAAGTGATGCTCTGGCCTCAGGCTCCTGAGTAGCTGGGACTACAGGCACCCACGAGAACACCCAGCTATTTCTTAGAGACAGGGTCTCCCTCTTGCTCAGGCTGGTCTCAAACTCCTGAACTCAGATGGTCTAACCCACCTTGGCCTCCCAGAGTGCTAGGATTACAGGCCTGAACCTCTGCACGCCTGACCTTTTTTACGATTTGTTAATAGATATTCTGTAGTTTCCCAGAGTCAGAGCGTTTGCTGATAGCCTCCCTGTGGTGTTGGTAACATGTGCCTTAGTTCCTCAGCACTGTCTGTACATGGGAAGTAAGATCTATGGGCTTTCTTGGGATTTACTTTAGTCTACTTTTTTAAAGTTTAAAAAAATATATTCATGTACTTTTTTTAGAGAAGGCTCACTCTCTGTTGCCCAGGCTGGAGTGCAGTGGCGTCCTCATACACGTAGCTCACTCTATTCTTGAATACTTGAGCTCAAGCAATCCTCTTGTCTCGGGCTCCCAAAGTGCTGGGACTGCAGGCATGAGCCACCGTGCCTGGCCCACTATGGTCCTTTTTTTTTTTTTTTTTTTTTTTAATAAGAACAGCTCACGAGTGGTGTTGTGTGCGTCCTCCAGGAGGCACAAACCTCTGGTGACATTAGCGGCTAATGTTGATCCTTGCTGAGACTCATTCATTCCTCAGGTCACACAGAATGATGACCTTCCAATGCTCCCTTTCCTTCTTCCTGTGTTGGCTGGATTAAGTCTACTAAGGGAAACATCCTCTCGTCAAT